TATCTATCTATCTATCTATCTATCTATCTATCTATCTATCTATCTATCTATCTATCTATCTATCTATCTATCTATCTATCTATCTATCTATCTATCTATCTATCCTATCTTTGAATTACTATTATTATTAGTTTCACCATTCATTGGTAACCTATAAATTATGCGTAATTATTTATTGATAGAGTGCAGTTATCAAGCCTACAGAATATAAGGTGCAAACACTTATTTCCATCTATCTATCTATCTATCTATCTATCTATCTATCTATCTATCTATCTATCTATCTATCTATCTATCTATCTATCTATCTATCTATCTATCTATCTATCTATCTATCTATCTATCTATCTATCTATCTATCTATCTATCTATCTATCTATCTATCTATCTATCTATCTATCTATCTATCTATCTATCTATCTATCTATCTATCTATCTATCTATCTATCTATCTATCTATCTATCTATCTATCTATCTATAGAATATTGTAAATCAGTACCAATTAAATGACATAAATTTTATATCAAGTTGATCTGGTTATTCTAAAGTTCAATTTTTTTATTGCTTCAATAATCTAAATTCAAGTGTTTTACATAATTGCTCTTAAAAAAATTATGAAATTACAATGATTATACCTTTTTTTATTTATCTATCTCATTAATTATTCAAATTTATCAAGCTAGGATTCATCAAATTATTAATTTTGATTAATAGCTGAGGAGACCCAAAATAGGACGAAACGGCTTTCCAGTGCTTACAGGTTTTCCATGGTGGTCTAGCTTAAACTAACTCATGATGTTAACTGTTAATTTTGATGTAGCTTTTGAAGATCCTAATAATTTCGGTAATAATATTGTAAAGTAGTAATTCGAATTGGCTTTAAGTTTCTTAATTAAAACCGTTACTTCCCCATGAGTATAATGAATGGTAACTGTTGGGATCTACTTGTGGATCAATACCATACATATAATTTTATTACATAATTAGTAAGTAGCTAAACTATGCATATTCATGTTTCTCTTATTATGAGCTTTATTTTGATCTATGAACTATTATTATACGATTTACCATTCTTCAGTTATGCCCCGTCTATTAATTACAGTCTCCCTTATTCATAGCCACATTTGGCTTGATCTTGTACACGTGTGTATTTTCTATTTTATGATGCGATGTGGTCTGCCTGGTTGGTATATAAACCCAGTATGCTTGAAATATAAAAAATCATATTACAGAAGCTGAGACTGATGTTCTCGACTCAACAGGCAGGGCTAGGCAGGATGAAGAACCGATAAGGAATCTAAATTGCTCGTATGGATTTATGCGTCATTGGTCCGTTCGATAAATCACTGTTCTCTAATTGGCGGTATCATTACGTCCTACATTAATAGGAGACAGGGCATAAGTTATAACAGAAACAAAGCAAGTAGATGAAATTAGCACGATGGAAATTGGGATTGTCAGAATACTTTTGATAACAATCATAATTGTTAAGATTAAACAACATTGAAAGTACAGTTGAAGAGAGGAGGATGAAAAGACATGAGAAGAATAGGGTTATTGCATCTATACCATTTGTGTTATGTTATCTAATGCCTCTAATGACTGATAGAGGTTATCAACTGAAATCTAACCAGATAGCTTGTATCTGCCCATATGACTCTAGATCATAGTTTCATGGACTGGCACTAAGATCATGTATCGAGGTACATATTTTAAATATTACTTTAGATAAAGCTTCATTACCTTCTCAAACAATCTGTAATATTTATCAAGCAATCTATGTTGAAACTCAACAAAACTCACTCGACTGATCTATAATATGCAAACAATTCCAACCAAATATTTGCATACCAAGATTGTTTTATGGTTTGAAAGGCCATATTGACAGGGATATCGTAACACAGAACCTACTGTTATGTAGTATACACGTCGTTTGGTTGGTAGATGCACATTTCGCCTGAGTGACAAGCGATGCAAGTTAGTAAAAAAAAGTTCTAATTCCATACAGAGATTTCATCTGACACTAAATTACTGGTATTAACAAGAATTCCAAAGTAACTAAGGCAACCATCTGCTTCATTTACATCATTAGTGTGAGCGTCATCACAAATCAAAAGTAAAGAAATTCTTCACATTCAGAAAGTATTAAACGTATAGTTAACTTAGAATAGAGCCTTACTATTCCACTATGCCGCTAGCTTCACTATTTAGAATATATTTTAAGATTTCCACATGGATGTAGAATAGGTCATCTAATGATTAAAGGTACTCTATTTCAAACCAGTAGGCTACAAACTCAAATCCGCTCCTACAAGAATGCACTTACTTACGGTTAATTAAAAATGAATATCAAACAAACCCCATTGTACAAGGAAGTGCCTATCAGGACTCAGTAAGTAAGTGGTAACTGACAAATTGTAAACAAGATGAGAAACATCTCATCCTGAATTCCATTCATGGCCTCTCATTTTACTCGCATTTTAATATCATCACTGCAAAGATTACTCAAATGATCTTGTAAAGAGAAACACATTAAATATCTTTTTCTTCAAACTACTTTATAAACTATCCTTTACATCCAATCACGTGATTCAATATGCAGAAACTTCACATTATGACATCCGTAATTCCTTGGCACTAGTGAAACAAACTTATTCTTAATCATCTCTTTATATGAATTACTTTAGCTGTAAATTTTCTAGACTCTGGAATAACCTACCACAATCTATCCGTACGAGAAAATCACTCTCATTATTTGTTCGCTGTATCGATGCATACTGCTCCTCTGAAAATGTATTGAATGTTCTAGCCACCTGTAAGTGTATCTCATTCCACAAGTGATATTATGGGAACTTTAAATGTTTAGTCATTTTTATCAGTGCATTCCCTAAGTAAAACCACCTACTCGCTATCACTTTATTAACATAACACCGTCCCCAGCAAGTTTAACTAATATGAATAACATCAACAGTATATCACCGGGGCACATGACACACATTTAGGTAGACCTGATTGATATATTTTGGTAATTACTGCTATGTTGTTCCGTGCTCTTTCTGTTTTCGTTTTAATTTCTCTAGTTGTAGATGATTATCATTGATTCTATCTGGCACTCCGTTCATAAATCAACAGGCTGTCCATTTAAGAAATATTACAAGTTCCCGGCTGATGCATTGGATCACTGTAATACATGTGCTAGCTAGCCAATTACTGAACTAGTATACTTAAAACTTTCTTCTATCACATGTTTGTTCTATACATCTAATGTTAATATTTATATCAAATTGATCATGCCCCTGTAAACTGACGTGAATTCTGTAATTATTATTTCTCAGAATATATAAATTATTATTATACAGAATAGCATGCTACTACGTAAATGCTACAATTCTGATTATGGGCTGTATACCAGTAGTGGTTGAAGTGGATGAGAAAATCATTATGCAAAGTCAATCAGCTCTCAATCCCGATATGTCATCTTGGATGAAGTAGGACAATGTTGGAAGAAAAATAGGGATAGCTAACCCAACAAGTAGTACCAGTTCACAAAGTCATTGATTGTTGAACTGAACAGTGTTGGTAAATTTAAACCACCTGGTTTGTGTCTTCACCAAAATCATAACGAAGACCATTGATGCGGTTCAAAATTGTTCATAGTAAGGAAGATACCTTTACTCTGTCTTTCAGCAAATTAGTTACTCAGCAGGATATAAATTGGATTAAAGCACGTTTCATACAAAGTTATGTAAGAGCGCACTGATTGGTTATTTCTTATCTTGGTGGAGTTTTGTTCTCTGAGCTGGATGGTTTGGTCGTTGAGCTTTCATCGTTCTTCTGAACGACATCATCAGCACAAACTTCAGATAGAAGTGAAGTGTTCGAATTTCTCCATATGTGTTTCACAGCTTGTTCTGTGCACCTCGATGTTGATTGGTTCTTGTTGACCATAAATTTATCATTGTTTACTTCTTTGTTTTGGTTGTGTCTCCCATTGGTTTGATTTTTGTCCCTATATTTATACATGATTTTCCTGATTGGTTGATAAATTGGATCGATATCAATGTGCTTGTTGATAGCTGATTGACCTGAGTGCCAGGCTTCTAGAAATTCTCTGATGTTTTTCGAGTTTCTTCTGTCTAAGATTTCTACATTTTCTCAATCGAATGAATGTCCGTAGTTATCCACGTGTATTGATATAAGTGAAGAGATATCATGGCGTTTGACTGCTAATTGATGTTCATGTAGGCGTAGGTGGAGGGGGGGTCCGCTTTGTCCGATGTAGTGTTTGTCGCAGTTGGTACAATTTATTTTGTAGATGATGTTTGATTTGTTTTCCTTTGTTATTTCATCTTTTGATTTGCATAAGATTGATTGTAGTGATTTTGTCGGTTTGTGTGCCACACCTATCCCGAAGGTTTTCAGCAGTCTCGTTGTGGTTTCTGATATTCCTTGTATGTACGGTAGGGTGATCCTTTTGTTGATTTTTGTGCCTGACTTGGGTTCTGATGCTGTGTGCCGTTGGTGCTTTTTGATGAAGTTGATTGGGTAGCCGTTATTTTGAAATATGTCCTTCAGGTATTTCTCTTCATTTTTTCGTGCTGCCAGTGTGCTGCAGTGTGTCCTCGCCCTCTTGAACAACTCCAGCTCAGAGAACAAAACTCCACCAAAATCATCCACCTGAGCTACAAATCTTCTCCACTATTTCTTATCTAGTCAGAGCGCAAGTGGACACTTGGAGAAGACTCTAGAATATTCTCATGTAAAAACTATGAATATACTAACGTTTTCCCTGTTGTGATTACTACTTCAATCCAACCATTTTATTATGAATATAATGACGTTCCTGTTCAACCATGTTCTGATTTAGGGAGTTGTCAAGTGATGTAGTGTCTATGACTACTACTAACCAATAAAAGTATCTGGATCGTAATCAGAGAAATGACAAGACAATTTCATTCCACATATTAAAAAAAGAAACTATTACTATTCAATAACATACCTCTTCTTAATTCTTGTCTTTCCATTAAACATTTCCATTCGAATTCAGCTATTCTATTTTTATCATTCATTGAATAATAATCAAAACGTTCTTCTAATTCATGAATATTATATTCTATTCCATGGAAACTTCTTTTGGAATTCAGTATATGTTCACTTTGACTTAAATGTTTATTTAAACCACCAATATATCGATTATTATTATTATTATTACTTCTTATTTCATTTTTGTTTACATAATTCGACAATGGTGATATGGATGATGTAACCGGTGGTAATTGTGGTGAACTATTTGAATGATCAATAAATGATTGATTATCAGTAGTATGATGATCATTATTAGTAGTAGTATTATTATTATATTGAAACGTTTGTAAATTATTCAAAGAGATTGATGATGTTGGTAAATCATCGAGATTTGTTAAATGGTTAACACTTTGTGATTTCCCATCATAGATTTTCTTTAAATTCTTCTTCTTCTTCTCTGAACGCTAAAAATAATAATGAATCAATGAATGTAGTGATTGTTTTGATTTTGAATACACTTATATCAATCAATGTATTATATACATGTATATAAGAGTTCAATATTGGTCCCTAATACGAAGCTATCCTCCTGAAGATACAAGAGTTTATTAACAGTTGTCTATACAAAATACTTTGAATCCGTTGATCATACACTAGCATCAGCAACAAACTACTGTGGGAGAGAACAAATCAGATTCCAGTGGAGGAAGAAATCAGGTAGAAGCACTGGAAGTGAATAGGTTACACATTGAAGAAAACACTGAATTGCGTGACAAGGTAAGCCCTCACATATAATCCTCATGGTCAAAGGAGGTGAAGAGGAAGACGAAGGAACACATTATGTCGAGAAATAGAGATAGACATGAGAAGAATGAACAACAATTGGATGGGATTTGAAAAGAAGACCGAGATCAGAGTGGGCTGGAGAATGCTGGTCGATTGAGGGTAAAAGTCATAAATAAGTAAGTTTCAGTCCATGAAACAATAGTAAATATCGTTAAAATAAACCATGATTATGAATACTGAAAGTTTACCATAAGTGAGAGTTTTATGGAAAGATCCTAATGATTCGATTCTGTGTTTGGATCATAAATACACATTGTTAGATTGTTCGAAATCGAGAAAAAAGAGATGTTAAATCGCTTTTATTGATATCAGTTCGTAACACTGATTACCAATAAAACTATACAAAAGTCTTAGAACGATTCCCTAATTGTTTAATCCTTAAAACATGTAACATCTAACTCATTGGATCTTTGTGAGCAAACATTTTATCATCATAATTAAATGAAATACGGCGAGACTATAATTTATGGACGAACCTATCATGTATAAGATAACAAGTCCATTCAACCATTTGGCTAAATAGAGTTTTGACATTACAGCTGATGACAATTCGTGATGAAAACCCGAAATCTAATTCCTCACCTTAACCATTAACTGTAAATCATAATTCTAATTCCTCACACTGTTTTATTACCTTCATTTGATCCTAGTTCTTAGGTGAACATTCACAAGGTCAGTTTAGCGTCACTCAAAGATCATCCATAAATTATAATCTCACCTGGGATACCACACTTCATTCCTCCCATCTTCAAGTAAACGACTACAAACATTATTGTATGGAAGACAGACAATAAGCATATTACAGATTCTAGATGACTAGTTTTTTATTTTTTTTAATATTCATATAAGTGTATCAAACTTATCATTGAAAAGAAATGTATACTATGATGATGAGATAGTGGAGAAAATTTGTAGCTCAGGTGGATAATTTTGGTGAAGTTTTGTTCTCTGAGCTGGATGGTTTGGTCGTGGAGCTTTCATCGTTCTTCTGAACGATATTATCAACACAAACTTCTTCCACGACCAAACCATCCAGCTCAGAGAACGAAACTCCATCATACTACGATGAACTTCCTATAATAATTATTATTGAATTTCACGAACAAATGTATAGTAATCTGAAGAATTCATCCAGACTTATTAATGAATTATATAACAGAAGCTAGAGAATAAACACTTCAGAATACGGAAGGATCTTAGCAATTTATAATATGTAAAACAATATGGAGAAGAAAGATACCTAACTTCAATAGACTTCCCATAATGCTTTGAACAATAATACTGAAATATATAAGACAGGATAAGGTTAGTGTAAGTTCAGCTTTGAAAAAAAACTCTATTGGACAAACGTCATAACAGAGTACTGATTAATTAATGATGATATGTGTGAATGATTGTAATTATTACAATTTTACCACTGTATCGATAAAATCAGTCTTGTTATGTTTATCAGATTATATTATAAAGTATCAAAAGGGGTTTTGTGGAGATTGTAGTAATTTAAAAAGTTGAGATCATGAGTTAATTGAAGCTATACCATCATCATGGATAACTTGGAAGCACTGGACGGCCGTTTTTTAGTGTGGGACTCCTTGTGGGGTTCGAACCCAGGACCTGCCAGTTTCGCTCGCGAGCGCTTAACCACTAGACAACTGAGTTGGTCGGTATCCAGCGGTGATGATTTCAACTATTGAAAATACTATAACATCTACAAAAACCCCTTCTGGTATTAATCAACATATGCTCGCTAGTGACGGGCTTCAAGATGTATATTCTGGAGTTCTAGTGATAAGCAGTGACCAGTGGAGTTCAGCCGGCTCTGTTATGATATAGTAACTGACTGAGGACAATGGTGGATGTGTCGCTCAATTTCATGGATTAGTTGAAGTTACACATTAACACCGTTGGATGCCGGCCTGCTCAGTAGTCTATTGGTTGAGCGCTCATGCGCGAGACCGACAGTTCCTGGGTTCGAATCCCGCGGGCGTGATTGTGGATGAGCACTGCTGGGGAGTCTCACTATATTGCAATGGTTTATTTAAAACATGTAATTATTTTGAAAAGAGCAAGAACAAAAGATTCTAGCAGAATAGCATGATTTCATTTTATTTCGTCTGGGTCTCGTCAGCTGCTTACAACCTGTGATATTTAAAATCATAATTACATATTGGGTTTAAATTACTTATATCAAAGAGTTTGATCGGAAGTTATATTGAAGGCATATTCGTATAGTATAGAAACAGTGTAAATATAATTAATAGACTGAATGTTGTAAATATATACCTTATATGAAAGAACATTCTAAAACATTGATTGTGACAACAGTTCAAACGGCTAGAAACAAGTGATTACATAATGAATAAACATTGATAGAAATAAGATGAGTTGAGTTTAGTTGATAAAATATGATTATTAATTTAGAAGATAGTTGAAATAATACCCAATGATGTTATTATATATGTAGGAAAGATTTTAAAGAAAAAAAAACTTTCCAGATGCGCCAAAGGAATATTTGTCACCAAGCCAAGGAAAGATTAATACCCAACTCTTTTTGAACACATAAGTCGGATTTTTGACGTCTGTTAGAAAAGACTTCTGTAAACTTCAAAAGACTGGAGTTTGGCTGCTTACTGATCACCTTAGGTGATTGCACTATTTAGAGTCTTTCTTCCACTTGTTCTAAGACATTTTCAAACATGTTCAAAAAATCTATGTTATGTTCTCTTTTTTGTTTGGCCATTGTAGCTGCTTTGGCAAATAAACCTAAATTTATGAATACAGTTGGCGGTAACATGAAAGGGGTGCTTTTCAACCTTTGATTGAGTTATTGAACATGTTGTTTTACAGAGAATTAAAAGTTTGGCCGCCTGGTAAATTCTGGCTAGAGCAGTGTTCAGTCTCCTGTTGACTATATGTGCGACATCACCACATTTGAAGTTAAGATTTATAGATACTGGCTTTTTATTGACCGTAATTATTTCCGTCTTGTCTTCTTTGGGCTTATTATATATGTCAATAAATTTTTGTGGGTAAAAGTTATCTTTTAGGCATTTTTCCACGTTCATTAATTCTTCTTCCTGTTTGTCGGTGGTACATATCCTTTCTATCCTATAAAACAGTGTTTTAACCAATGCCTTCTTGTAAATGATTGAATAGCAGCAATTATCCAACAAAGTTCTTTACCATATACTTTCATTTGAAAATGTAACATCATAATCAGCTACCACCCTTGAAATGAATAGATTTCTCATGATTTCAGAAACTAATTACTCGATCAAATTGAATGAAGAATGCTGGTGGTTGGCCTATCTTCTTCCATGAGGAGTAACAGACGTCAACAAGTAATTGTTGACAGAATGAAAATAATCCTAAAACTTTCACGTCTGATTGATTTATTCAACATAAAATTGTACAAGAAACTTACTCAAAAGGTTATCTCCAATTGTATTCATCTATATTACCAATTTATCTGATATCATATATTTCGGAAGAGAAACAAAGAGTTATACCTAAGAAAATTAGATGCTGAATATTCCTAGACGGTTTAACAGTGCTATAAGTAGTCATATTGTTTATTTCAGTAATATATTAAGTTCAATTACATTTATATTAACCAATAAGCATAAATTTTTTGATTGAAATCATGAGTCAATTGAAGCTGGACAACCATGGAAAACCTGGAAGCACTGGACGGCTGTTTTGTCCTAGCATGTAACTCCTCAGTAGTGCGCATCGACGATCCCGCACCACACGAGATTCGAACCCAGGACCTATCAGTCTGGTGCCAGGCGCTTAACCAACCACAACACCTAAACTGATAATTACCATGTACTCACTAGTGACTAGCTTCGTGAGAAAATTCCTGGAGTTCTGGTGAGAAGCCGTGACCAGTGGAAATAATCCGTGTCGGCTAGAAACAGATATCTACCTCAGTACAATGGAAGGTGGTCGCGCAATTTCGTGGATTGGTTGAGGTTAGACATTAACACCATTGGGTACCGGCCCAGTGGTCTAGTTTGTTAAGCGCCTGGCGCGAGACCGATAGGTCCTGGGTTTGAATCTCGTGGGAGACGGGGTCATGGAAGCGTGCTGCTGAGGAGTCCCATGCTAGGACGAAATGGCCGTCCAGTGCTCCTAGATGTTCCATGGTGGTTTAGCTTCAATTGATTCATGATTTCAATCAAAAACTTAATAATCTCCACAACACCTAAACTGATAATAAGCATAAAATAAGGTGACCATTAAATTTTACAAAAGCATCAAGGTTTCATTAGTTTAACCAGAAACTAATTGACTTGAGATTGTCTTTTTATTGATTGAATATTCCTATTTAAGTTTTCTTGTTCACGTTTCTATTGTACATGTTAACCATTACAAGTACTATTCATACATTTCTTATATCATTTAATTTCAACAAAATAATAATCAGAGGACATTTGGCCTCCTGTCACATTAGTTTTCATAATCATCATCTTGAATCATTATCATTGATGCTACTATTGTTAATAATATGGTTATTAGTATTACCATATTACTGTTAATTATGGTTATATCATTACTATTTCCACAGTTGTTATGAATGATCTGTCTTAAAAAACTTTTTTAATGTAAGAATAACAACAGAGAATGTAGCCATGGAGTGAACTGAATCCAGTTTACCTTACCTTACAAGCAAATTTACTGTTATTATCTTACAGCTTATCATTTCCCTAAGTTGTGTTATTTCTATATCTCATACATAAGACATAAATGGTAAACTCTTATCACCCTTCAATTCACTTTTATGCTTATCTCTCTCTCTCTGTTTCTCTTGTTACCGTCTAAACTTGAAAACTTATCTTTCTCAGTCTACATGAATTTCTTATTGTATTTTATAAGCAACATTTCGGTCGCTATAGTTTTAGCTAGAAAAAGTTTCTTGGTGATCAGTTTATTGTATAAGATTCATCACAAACTAATCTCATTGTAATAACATTCAAAATCAGGGGGACAGAGTAGTTGTTTCATCTTAGTGTGTAACTCCTCAATGTCGCTTACCTCACATCCTAACAGAGGTTAAACCCATAATCTTCATATTTCATAGTAAATGCTGAATCATTCAAACTCCTAGGTTGATACTCAATCAAATTGTGACACAATGAGACGACCGTTCAATAATGTGACAGTTAAGTGTTTCAATGCCAAATGTCTAAACTCTACTAATTAAGATTTGGAGAGGTGGTTTACTAGTCAAAGCGTTCAACTTTCAGTCACTGAATTACAGGTCCCAGCCTCTTTCCACCTACTTTGATTTGAATAACTATTTAGTACCAATACCATTCACAAATTAAATATGGCTCATATTCAAATATTTGATGAGTAATTAAACTATCAGTCATGACTTCTCACTAGGACTTCAAGTAATCTTGAAGTAGATCATTAAAAAACTGACTGTCGTAGTTATAATTAAAGGGGTTTTGTAGAGATCAATTCAATTTAGAGATTGCATTCATTACAGATTATATTCATTTAACTTGTCTCACTCAAACCGACATAACATTTCACCTAATGTTCATTTTATTCACATGATTGTTTGTAATAATATTGATTGTAATTTGACCCTTAGCAACAAGTTTTTTTAACCTCTTTTCTTAAATACAAATTGGAGTTGATTTATGAAACATTTTAGGTGTATCCTCAATTTTAAGTATTTCAGTGCAAAAATGATTGTGAAGTGTAATGATGAAGTTGGAGGAAACAATTTTTCCAATCAAACATACGTTTGATAGTTCTCCACTTAGAACAATTCAGAAAGTTATATACATTAGTTATATCAGTTTTTTTTTTAAATTTAATTTGGCTTTAGAAGATTACTACTTCGTGAACTTTAAACATGCACTTCTGTGGAATCCTATATTAAGACGAAATGGTCGTCAAGTACTTCCAGGTTGATCTAGCTTAGATTGACTCATGAATTCAATTATTAAAATCTCCATAAACTCCATTCTGATCATAATTTGTTTGAATTTATTGTATTCTTGGATTTCCTTGCGTGTATTCTATTTTTATCAGTTTAGGGTTATGGGGATTGTTGGGTTTTATTGAAATCATAAAGCACTGAACAGCTGTTTTATCCTAGTACAAGAGTTTTCAGAAGTGAGCAGCCATTACTCCTCACACAGGAATCGAATTCAGGACATTGAGTCTCGCCCAAAAACGCCTAACTTCTAGATCAATAAACTAGTATCTTTCAAAAATAAAACTGTCAAGATTTATCTTAGTGCTTAAATGATCTGCTTTATATGAATTTAACTACTGGACATTTATATTGAAAATGTGCATTGGTTTATTCTATCTGTTAACTGGTAATTAATTAACTTTATTCGGCTTTTGAACAAAATGTTAATAATAATAATAGTCTACTTTCATGGAAATCATCATCAACTTTCACGCCTAACTTTTAACTTTTAAACAAATAATAGATAGTGAGACTATAATTTATGGACAAAGCAATTGAGTATAAGATAACAGATATTGGATTCGGGAGCGAATATTACTCACCCATAGAGTTTTGGCATTATAGTTAATGTCAGCTTGTGATAAAAACTCGAAATCTAATTCACAACCTTAACCAACAATTGTATTTCATAATTCTATTTCCTCACAATTGTTTATAATCCTCATTTGGTCTGTAGCGGTAAATAAATCCCCAAAATAAATAGCTCTGTAAGTTTTCGACACTTGATGCTGACCACATTAGTTTTAATGGACTCACCTAGCTGAAGGCGCTCGGTCGTGCATCCGCACCAGATCACGAGTGGGAACGCCGTGCTCAACAACCCCTGCAGTCGCTAGCCAGATTAGATTAGACGATTCTCGATAAATTGATAACCTATCAAATATATCTTCGAACCTCCTCGCATCTGTCTTTTGATTTCACTTGATGGGTGCGCTTCATATTAGAAAGTGTTACTGGTTAAAGCGTTGTCAAACCACAAATACCTGTGGCATCTTCAGGTCTTAGTTATTAGGTGAGCACTCTCAAAGTCAGTTTAGCGTCACTCAAAGGTCATCCATAGATTATAGTCTCATCCAATAGTTTAGCAGTGTTTGGGTATATTTCAGTTTTTTGGGGTCATTTTTTAAATCATTACAGTCAATAAAATCATATAAGCTAGAAGAAGTAGTTTTCATATGTAAGTATATAGACAATAATTTACTAAGTAGGAATAATAACACCCTATAGAAACTAGAAAGAGAAATCAAAAAGAAGTAGCTTTATGTTATTTAATGTTCATCAATTGGAAAAAAAGTATAGTTTTTAGGAGATACTGAACTATTCTATGAGAAATAGAATTTAACACTGTCTATAACGGAACACATTCGAACATTTATTAAAAGCTTATGAGTACAAGAGAAGTTATTTGGTGATTATACAATCTTCATAGATTATATCACGGATTGATCGTAGTTAGATAATCAATGAAAATCGGGAATGGACTGAAAACTTATGATGTTCTACTAGAGAACTTCTTAGTAGTGTATATCCAAAAACATACCATGATGGGTTGAACTCAGGTCTGTTATTCTAAAGTATGAATACTTAACTTTTAGGTCACTGAACTTGTAACCAATCGTTTAGTTGTCTAAATTCCATCGGTTCGCGATACTGTGCAACAGTTTTATTTTCACTGTGGTGGATAAATATCTTACACTTCACTGGGCTAAACTCTTCCTTTACACTAACCCTTAATTAAAAGCATTCTTATACAGCTTTATTCATATAATATAATACAGCTCACCTATAAAAAAAATAAGTCACTTAACTATGAATGAGTTACCACATTCGGTAGACAATAATGTCCTATTCATGAACTAATAAAGTTTTATAGATTCTCCAGTACTATATCTTAGCATTTTAATTATAAAGTTCAATGAGAAATACATTGAAATAAACAGAAGTGTTTTTGACCAGCTATTAGTCATTTATATATACCGTTTAGTGTTTCATAAAAGTGGTAATTTGGAAAATAATAAAAATAAAAGAGAATAGTTGATTGTTTAAACTTAATTTAAATAGATCAGAAAGCTTTGAATAACCTTGATGGTCATAATAACTTTCGGGATATTGGCTGATTAATGTTTTATATAAAATAATATTAAGATTTTACGATGAAATTTAACATTTATATCGGTCATAAAATGCACACTAATTGCCATAATCGGATATGTACACGAGTATATATCCGAAATAATTTACATGATGTTTTGAAACTAAGAATAGTGTAACATAAATTACAAGACTATCTTTCAGAGATAATGGGATACTGTTAGTTGTTCAAGTGTATTTGCTACACAAAATCTATGGGTCTATCTACAAATTGAATTATCTAAAAATATGATAAAATCCTAATGTGGACTTAGTGAATGATAAATCCAAAGGAAATTGTCTTGTATGTACTTAATATAACATTTGAACGATTGCAAATATATGGAGAAAGTCAATTAAATTTCATATATTATACTCCGTGAAGGAAAAACCCCGAACGTCATTTTAACAAAATAAAAAAACAGGAATATGAAACTTATTAGACGAATATTTAGCTGACTTACCAGTTCACATTCTAGCTGCCGTCTGAATTTTCTTTTATTTTTCTCAGCCTTTGACTGAAGATCGCTCAACTGTTTCTTATGAGATTTAACCAATTCTCTGTAATTCCTGTGAAAGTTTTCATTTAAATCCTGAACACCATGTAACAAAAAATATACGGAATTACTTTTTCTTCATTCTTATAATCTTGTAATATATTCTGCCTCCTTTCCTTACATAACTTTTGAAAATTTCGAATGTCTCGAGTTATTTCCTTTTCGTATAGCATTATCCGTTAGCAATGAGACAATTCATAATTGTGCGATAATCAACTGCTATTATGTAGACTTAAAAAAGAAACTTTACAGTACGAAATGAATTAATAGTGACTGAATTACATTTATTTGACTGTCAGATATTGTTTGTTTTGTTTTACTGAATCACGCTAATTTATTTCAAGGTCAGTTTACATTCAAATTGGAATTTCTTGTGGCCCTTTGTTGCCGCATATGTATGTAGAATAATTGCCACAGTTTCATATAATTGAAGCATTCCAATTTACAAGTATGTATTGGATTCATTCTAGCTAACTATCATGTATCATTTTCTGTTCTGGGGCGTTCTCATTTCGTAATCTATTGAATTTCCTAGCGAAATAGCGTTTCAAAAATTATAAGACCGTCCTTGTTTACCTTTCCATCCTTTTACGTCCTCATACTTCTGATGCCAAAGTTCTTTTAAGGTTCTGGTATAGTCATGCTGATTGAAGGGGAATTTCATGTTTCTTATCCATCGATTTACAGGACAGTGTATATAAATATGTAGGGAATGATCTTATCCTTAGTGCAGTCGCTTGTTTTTGCATGTACTTTCACTCTATACCGGTTCTTGGTTTTGGTCGTTCTTATGCTCCCATTATGGCAACTGGTCAGTATCATTAGTCTTTGAAAATGCGGGTCTTACTTTCACCATCTCTAGTTAAGGTATTTGCGTCTCCAAGTACACCTGAAACTAGCATTCATAGGTTTCATACGCCGATTTAGTGTCTTGAAGTGTGCGCTACAGGGTTTTAATGTATTCTAAAAGCTTAGGTGATGGTTGTGAGCAGTCGTAGTTATTAAAACGAAAAGAGATGGAAGACTTATCAGTGATGGGTTACTGTAAACAACTGTCCAGACTCATCAGTAAGACAAGTATTAGAAATCTGACCGTTAGTGAGACTAATTTTAAATAAATATATCACTATTCACTCAGTCCAGGAGATGAAACATATAGGTAGAGCAATCTAAGCGGCTGTTCAATTGTAAATCCACCTGATTTGCCTCGATCTCTGACGATCTAAGTTCGTAAAAACCACTGAAAAATCAGTTCAATCAATAGTGTGTAAAATACTGGCCTCTATGATAACCCGTCGATTGGTTAGAGCTTGTGAAGAGCAAATTCAGGGACACCAAGCTAGTTTCAGAACTGAACGTGAATGTATAAACTAGATGTCCACTCTTCGTCAAGTTTTAGGGCATTGCCATACTTCTGGCTTACGACTATAATTGTACTCCTTAATCTTAAGACAATGTTCAACTCGGTTGATCACGAGGTTATGTGACTAGATCTGTTATTAAATGGGATACCGAGGTACATCAACCTTGTACAAGCTCTCTGCTTGAACACTAATAATCAATTCAAAACTTATGGTGTTCTCTTTTCGGAATTTTCAATCTCAGGTTGTGTTCGCCAGGACTGCCCACTTTCCCTATTTTTATTTAACTTCGTCATAAACATTCTTTTAGAGATGACGCTCTCATCGTCTAACTTTCAAAGGTTGGACTACCGAGATATTTTCTACTAGACCTAAAATACGCAGATGGCGTATTTATGTTTGGTGGAGATGCTGAAAAAAAAACCCAGTCTTTTGACCACTTAAAACAACAATGCAAGCATGGTTGGGATGCATTTCTCCCTCTCAATGTAAAATGTTGCTTCAGAATTGCCCTTCATCGACGTCTAAATTAATAACAAGAGTGGTTGAATGCTCCAACCATCTTACTCATATCAGTATTCTCAGCCTTGATAAACTGGTTTTGATTGTACCCGGTTGACCTTTACCAATCTGGGTCATTTGTGATGTAAGCCAGATATCCTTCCGCCAACAAACGGACGAGTTAACTGGGTAGCAGTTCGCTCGTTATTTGTTGAGTGTGAAGCATACCCGTTGGAAATAAAGGATATTCGTAAGTTACTAGTATTCAGTCATCGAATGAGCAATGCTGGAGTTAGGCATAGGGTACTTGGTAAATGTGCTAAGTCGACCGATAGGACTGTAATTTTTTGTTGATTGAAATGGTTGGGGTATATATTACTTGTGTCCAACCACCACGTATCTCACTGATGGATGTTGACTAGTAAACAGAAAGGCTGGAACGGACTTTGTGCAGTTTTTTCCCTCTTTTACTAGACCCTATCTTCTTTGCTACTACTGATACTTTTTCTACCTCTATTCACTCGGGATTTGTCTTGATTGTTTTTCCTCACTGTGCTAATGAGATGTGACTATTCGAGGTGGCGCATAAGCATCAGGCTCTGCGTTGCATATGACAAGCTGACTCAATCTTCGGCTCAATAGCTGAAAGTTAAGTGCTTCACTCACCACCACTATCTGCTCATAAGTAGCACAATAACAATGAGGCCAGTAGTAGTAATTTTTTGTGAGGGCTGTGATACTGCCAGGGCACCCAAGCGGAAGTAGGTGTTTTTCTTAGGGTCCAACTCCCCGAGCCATTGACCTGAAGGTCTAATCCACGAGGCAGTGGATCAACTTTAAAAGATTCACTCCAATGGTAGTTGTTGACCAACAATAGATTCGTAAGTCATTTGCTCCTTCGCGATTATGGAGTCCATGTGCACCATTTGCTTCAGGACTGGTCTGCGTCAACACCCTAACTAAGGATAGGGAGTGAAGTTGTCGAACGCGTTGACAACTTCACTTATCTTGGAAGTCTGATCAGCCCTAATGGGTTGGTGTTTGACGAAATCTCAGCACGTATTCAAAAATCTCGTTTGCCTTTTTGGCAACTTACGTCACCTACGGAGAAGGCGAGATATACGTCTATCAATTAAGGGACGAGTATACTGCACAGCAGTTCGTTCTGTTCTACTTTACGGCTGCGGAACGTGGCCATTAAGAGTAGAAGACATTCATAAGCTACTAGTATTTGACCACAGATGCCTTGAAAATATTGCTGGCGTCTGCTGGGATCACCGGGTAAGTAATAGTGAGGTTAGACGCAGGGTATTAGGGAATGATGGTGAATCAGTCGATGAGGTTGTGAATCTTCATCGACTGAGATGGTTGAGCCACGTGTTATGTATGCCTGAACACTGATTACCACGACACGCGATGCTGATTAGTATTGGGGACGGTCAGAAGAAAGTTAGGGGCGGCCAATTCAAAACGTAGCATCAGTGCTGGAAGTCACTGACTTGTAGTCTTAGCCATGTTGGTAGATGCAAACTATTTGGTTGGGGTCCGCGTGACTATCGTAACCAATGGTTGGAGACTCTGGATGACATGGGTCATAATCGATCACAATGGCTTAGGTCTATACACGCTTTGTCTTCCCTTAAACCGTGAGATTAAAATTGCTTTATATCTTTCTACGAACTAATTCTTTCTTCCTGTACTATATCTCTATATGCAATCTTTCTTTTATATATTACCACCTCTGAATTAACTACTTTTATGAATCTGGTGTCCATCTTGTTGGGTTAATGAGGTATGACAACTTGGACCGACGCATATATGTGCCTGGTCCTACGCTGTAGCTGATTTGTTTCTAATCAGGGTTTTCCGACTCCTCTAGATGGATCCTCTATATCCATTAACCCGGTGAAGGCAAAAGAAATTTGTTTTTCATCCTCTAAATTTCGTGAAGAACACGCCCGCCGCGAGAAGACAGTGAATAAGGCTTCCTTGTCATTGGTTGTATATGCGCGGCCGTGTGAGAGCATTTTGAGAGGGAGAGCTAACTTTGTTCACTCTTGGCTGTACCAGGGCACTTGGAGGCATTTATAGCTCTTTCTAGCTGATTTTACGAATTTGCGTTTCATAAATAGAATAAATTCTCCTGTTGAGTTTGTTCTCTGTTGTTATTCATATATTTCTCTTTATCATATTCAGATTAGTTAATAATGTTAATGTTCAATCTTCTTTTGTTATAGATCTATGATGAATTCAGTTCAAGTCAGTTCCCAATCATATGCATTGAAATGGGAAGATTTTTCCTCTCTTGAAAACTCCTATTCTAAGAAACACTGTTTACACTCATGTAATAGTTCATCACCTGGTCTACGACAAACTCAATTAAATTTCTCACCAAATCACCAAACGAAACTGTCTAAACAATTTGAAAATGTTACAGATGGTATGGAACTTGATAACGCTAATCGGATTACTAATCAAAATGCTTCTTTGAAATCAAATGAACATAATTCATATCCTCAAACTTCCATTAAACTTGAACCACCGTCAATCTCAACCGCTGAGTCTTCGAACAAATCTCCAAAGTCCATCATTACTAGCCCTACGCGAGTAATGAAACAGGCTATCATAACTGAAACAGGGATTTCACCGGCGGAAAATGTATTCAAAAAACCGATCAGAAAGAAGAAAGCTGGCACTAATAAAAAGTGGGTGTTTTTTACATCTCATATTTTTAAGTATATGATTACTACTAAATTATGTTATCTGTGAAGTAAATGACGTTCAGATTGAGTGCATAGCACAACAGTCTCCACTGCTCTATTAATAAGGAACATTAGGAAAATTGCAAATACTTGATTATAACCATGAATTAGACTAATGTTCAGCATTCATTTTTCGATGGAAGTTGTAAGTTGGCTTATGTGACCACAAACTTTCGTCATCCAAAGTGATTGGGAAGCGTTTTATTCAGCCCTATCTCACCACCTTCTTTGATGTATAATCTTTAGTTGGGGAAGTGTTTACGTTGATATAAAAGGGATCATATGTAAGTTGTGAGTTGAAACAATCGTGATTAATTTGAGAGATATGTCTATAGCTTAATTCTACGTTTTCATTTATTAGTAGCTAATAGAAAAATTATTCACTATGTCCGAAATCAACTCCACTTATTTCAGTTTGGGTAACAGGGTAGTGTCACTACCCCTTCACATAAACAATATGACTCAAATCTAAACGCGTATGCATGTTGCGTGTGAGACAATTACTCACCAATAGTATTTAAAAGTAGTTACTCAACACTGCGAGTTTATTGAAGTTACACGTGTAAATCATCGGTT